TCAGAATAATTCAGGCACCTCAAAATCCCTCTGAAGTTGACTTCCACTTTTCTACTAACCTGATTTGTGGGAAAGGAATACCTGCCCTCAGTAACAACATGCCTCTTGCAATTATGCAAGAGTATTTTTAGGGATCATACATTTTACAGTATTTAAAACACGTTTTGCTTTTCAGTTGTCGCCTTTTGCCAGGATATTCCAACTCAGCAACCAAATCTTCAAAAGAAAGCCACAAGGGAGCTGATATTTCAGGTTAGGATTTATCTCAGAGGCACACTGCCAAGGGAAGCGGTCAGAAGCAAACCCAAACTGTCTAACCTGGCAGGCCAAAGCTGAAAAGGCACCATAGCAAGCACAAGTTACTTTAACATGGTGGGTCACTGTCAGAGCTGCAGAGAGGGAGATAACAGCTCTGTGAAGCACAAACCTGAGAGCTTGTAACAGAAGATTTTTATTATGCAAGAAAAACCTGTGATATGAAATTTCACATATACTAAATACCAGGTTTTTTCCTCTAATGACATTCTATACTACTTACCAATCCTTGATAGCTGTATGAGGTCCTATTGCAAAGTAGCATGCAGTTAGGAAGTTGTAATTATGCCTTAAAATTTTTCATTAAAATGCTCGCTTTGCTACTATCTTCAAAAATTTCTGTATGCTACCCCAATTTCTGTACATTTTATTTTTAAAATATGTATCAGTGCCTCTAAAAACAGATAGTTGATAATGTAAACAATAAAAAAAAAAGCTGTGTTTACACAGTTTCTGTAGCTCTCATGTTGAACAATAATGAAACCAAGCATCAGGAATGAAGAGGCTCAAGCAGGCTCGATGGCAACCCCCTTTGCCTAGGGGAACGCAGCAGCTCAGCGCAGCACGGCCAGCATACCAACTTTTCCTCAGTGCAGTTCTCCACCTACCGGAGAAGTCCAGCAACTATAACTAAGTCTTCACAACACTTCATATCGCACATCAGTTTGTTAATGTTTCTAGTGACAACAGGAATTGCTATCCTCAACTGGTTGTGAAACATTCATATGTAAGTACCTATATAAAATTTAACACACTCGTGCTTAGGCTATTCCCAACATCTGTAATGTTTTCATATAAATCTAAAAATTAATCAACTAAACATTAAATATTATACTTTACTGAACAATCCACTGTGCAGCGGTGGTTGGAAAAACGCCACTCCAAAATCTACAATGCTTTAATTGAACATACATCTTTCCTAGACATACTTAGCTCTGAAATCACTTGATTTCCTAAATTTCTTTTTCCACTTGTCAGCTCTACAGTATTTCAAAAGGGGTTATCTATACTTAGATGAAACATCAGAATTGGCTACATTGAGTTTAATTTGCAGAATCCATAATTCCCAGAAACTTATTAGCATACTATCAAGATGACAGTACAGTTGCTAGTTTCATAGCTGTCTCTTATCTGTATTATCCATTTGAAAGGAACTTCCAAGCATCAGACTGAGTTACTCCACAGCTTACTGACCTTCTCCTTCCATGAAGCAGACTGCTGGATATGAATCAGTGTTATTAAAATTCATATTATAAAATTATTATAAAGCCTGTGTTATTTAAATCATAACACTTAGTTCCCTTGAAAAAATAATTAAATGCAAAATAAGTCTGCAAGTAAAAAAGTTATGGTGATACTCATCATAAAATAGTTCCATTGCTGGATTGCCAGAGACTGATTTGTCATCCTACACCCTCAGAAGGGATATATATTAAAAAAAAAAACCCAAACTGAATAACTGAATAATAAAGATTTCCTCAGGATTAAAAACTTGCACAGCCTATTCTCAATTGTCACTCACGCACCTATACATGCATAAAAATCCACAAGCAACTTTGATCTTCCTGCTTTAGCATACACAATATACATCTCATTTAATTTAGATATTGGTATTTTGGAATGAGGCATTCTAGTGGCAGAACACCACGGCAGTTTAATTTCCAAAGCCTTAGCACCAGGGGAACAGATTAAACTCTTTCAACTAGTTCGTTCAGGTGGTTCATCCTCCATGTAGCATCCAAGTTTCAGACAGAAGCAGAAAAAGCATACTGTACTCCACAAAAGAACTAATAACCATCTTTAGCATAAATGATAGGTCAGTTCTAGTTATACCTTATTGCAACGGAAGTTTCAGCTGGTCACTGCACATATTTTTGAATATCTCAAGAGAAACATATAAAGAAACAGAATGAAACTGCACAGAAATACTGATCCCAGAGACTTTAATGTAGGTGCCAGTGTTTGGGTGTAAGCATATACGTATGTGCATGTGTAAAAAAAACAAACTCAGGTATGAAGAATGTGAGCAGAGAAATGATGACATCTTCAGTACTCCGGCTAGGCAGGCACAAGCAGTCAAGGGGTATTTGTGGTTGATCTTATATACTCTTTCC